CTAGACGGTAAATCTAAGTTGAGCTCTACCGTATGACACTCAAAGATCCGCGAAAGCTTTTCATAGGGAAGTTATTGAAGATCAAACGTTCGACACAATTTTTGGGACACCCTGTATATCTCTATATGAAGAAAATTTGTATGTTTGTGCACATTCCACGTAGTCACGTAACCACACTAATTCACAACCCTGCACATTATAGAATCCTTATAATGTGCAGGGGTGTGCAGGCTGTGCGGGTTGTGCAGGGTGTGCAGGGTGTGCAGAGTGTGCAGGGTGTGCAGGGTGTGCAGGGTTGCGGGGTGTGCATGGTGTGTGGGGTGTGCAGGGTGGGGGGGGGGGGGTTGTAAGTGAACATGCTGATTTGAATACATTATTGACAGGACCGGGCGGAGCCGGGTTTGCCAGCTTGTTTATATCATGACTTATTAGATTGGCACGAAAGTTCTTGCGTAATTCAAACAAAATTCAATAACTTTTCAAAGACTAAACCTAAATTCACAATCTTGTATGCTAAAAATATCAAAAGCCATACGCTTCATGACGGATGTTTAAGCATAAGATTCCGTGAGCTGGACATCAAGAGCGAAGCTCTCGAATATGGAGCTTCAAATTTTGCGATTTTGAGTTTGGTGCCAGGAAATCGGAGAGTGCCGCTAGCCAGCCGAAAAAAATCTGTAGAATTTACTTACACAACAAAAGTCCATATGTTACTTTGGAAGGCTTTGATCTTGCACGGTGAAGCAAAAACAAAAAATTCGTGAAATATGTCATTTTGCGGAATAAACCCCTCATGTCCGCAGTTTTCCGGCAAAAACACTTTTTTTACAATCGAGAAAACGTCGCAAGGCGCTAAATAGGCACTGTGTCTAATTTCTGGTGCAAACTGTGTTTCTGTGGAAAAATTAGAGCGATAAGGGGATTTGTCCTGTGAAATGACAAATTTCACAAATTTTTTGTTTTCGCATTTCCATGCGAGATCAAAGTCTGCTAAAATAACGTATGGACTCTTGTTGTGTAAATAAATTCTACACATTTTTTTTCGGCTAGCTAGCGGCCCTCTGCGATTTTCTGCCACCAAACTCAAAATCGCAAAATTTGAACCCCCATATTTGAGAGCTTCGTTCTCGATGGCTAGCTCATGGAATATTGTGCTTGAACTTCCATCATGGAGCGTGAGACTTCTAATATTTTTAGCGTACAAGATTGTGAATTTAGGTTTAGTCTTTGAAAAGTTATTGAATTTTGTTTGAATTACGCAAGAACTTTCGTGCCAACCTAATATAATAACGCGCTAAGGATGTTTACGTGACTTTGTGTGTGTGTCTGTTACGAAATTCATGGAGCGTGTTCCAGCCAGCGTTCTAAGCCCAACTTTTGTATAGCGCATGCTACCTTTATGAAAGTCTAACATGCAAAAGCACGAGTAGATTCGTTGAGTGAACCCCTCAAGAAATGCGCGCCAAACGGGTCCACCTGGCTTCTGTACCACAAAATTCGGTCCGTATCACCACATTTGCAGAGTCGTGGATGAGTTTGGTAAGCAAATGTGCAAGCGATGGAGTTTAGACAGGAAAGTGGTCGAAAGTTTACTACATAACGAAAACGGCGCCAAAATGAATTGGTTGTGTAAATGGTCAACTTGCCAAGGTTCTAGCTAAGTGTTTGAGAAGATTTTCGCACAGAGATGAAGCTCACGGTTACTATTATCTTTATGGCGACTACCAAGCCACGACAAATCCAAAAACCTATTCAATTTTGCGTTTGTCTTCCTGCGAAAAGTTTCATCCACTCGAAATCACCGATCTCACGTGAAAAGACTTTCTAAATGGGTTGTTTACATTTTATTCGTGGTAGTCGGCATAGCACGGTGAGTTCCAGTGCCACGATTTTACGAGAATGAGTAAGGCACATAGATAGTAGAGCCAGTGCGAACCTCTGTGGTAAGAATAAACTAATTCAATTTAATGTAATAATTTATATAGCTTAGCATATTACTCTCTCAATATACAAAATCCCGTCTAGGGCCACGGTCATCTTTATGCATAGTATGATATTCAATACTGCCTACAATGTGGAACTGAAACTAGGATCCTCATTCTGGAAAAATTGAATTTCAAGCTTGTGCTGTATCCTCTTGCACTTCATAACGGGGTAGAGGTCTTGCATGTTCAAGAGTTGCGACTGCGCGCGCGAGGCCTTCTCTTTTGAGCGGCTTATAGCCTAGTACCCTTTCCAACTCTCTTCGCTAGTTGTCCTATTCCAGAAAGAAATGCTCATAACTCCTCAAGAACTTTACGAGCAATAGAAGACAACGGCTTTTCTACCAAGCTGTGCGCTGCCTCTGCATACATCATTTCGTACTTTAAACAAGGAACGATCCGAACTTAAAAGAATTGGGTTGAACTGCATGCCAGTGGTTGCGTCTTGACAAGCTGATTCCAAACACACCTTCCATATTTGTGATGCCCTTCTTTGGAAAAAGTTGTCAGCGTTCAAAAGTCCAAATTTGGCAAACAAGCGCTACATCCTCAGGAACTAGTTATTAACGCTTATCTATGTCTCCGATAAATGTGAGCGTCCCATGAAATCAGTACACTCGATATCCAAGTTGAATTTTGAAGCGCATCAAATCGTTAGAAATCGCGTTTGTCAACTGTCAACATGTTAGCTACACGTGGCAAGTTTGAGACGCAGACCAAGGGTAGCAGCAACTGTGGAAAGGACGATAAACAAGAGACTTTATGCGTTTGTAGAGGGGTTGAGGCGAGTTGGCGAGTTGGCCGAAACATTAGCCTAATAAACGTTGTACCGATGTTGGTAAAGGCTCGGACATTTCACAAAGGATACTGCTAATATAAGTGGCGTAGTGATATAAGGCGCCGCTATGACCAGATCGAACTCAGGTTCGATCCTGCCCCTGGGCCAACCAAGCCCTCTACCCTCCGGGGTCGGCAAAATGGTACCAGAGTAGTTGGGAGGATAAAAGCACTGACTTGGTAACCGTCTGGCCCCCGCAATTCACTGTAATAGGCTTGCACGCATACAATTGCCTCTTCGACTATGAAGTAGTGTGCGTTCGGCGCATGCGAGCTGTAGTAGAACGCGTTGAGTCGTTGACGATTTATTAGAAAACCACAAAAGTTCCTCCTCTGCTTATCGGCGTACATGTCGAGGGTTCACTAGGAATAACTAGAAAACAACACACACAAATATATCAAGGTGCGGCGGGTACGCCGCAACCACAGAGACCATATCAACCTAACCTATGATGAGTGAGCAAGTTCCAATAAGGGACGGCTCTACAACACCAGCAGAGGGTATTGAAGACGTCGAATCCTTTATCCTTTATACTGCTAATATGCCAAGATTCACCGAAAGTCGTACATGGAATCTGACTGCTGGGTTAGATAATCAATACAACTTTTGGAATGTTTTCATTAACGTCGAAAAAAGAAAAATGACTTTGAAAAAAAAAGACGGTCGCCCGCCGGGGATCATCGGGGGATCACAAAAAGCTAAAGAAGCGATTACATTTTCGGCTCCTGCTCAATATGTTCATGATAAAGGATCGTGGGAATAGGTACGGATAGATAGACAGGTTTTTAGATATTTAGAGCTTCAGGATATAAAGCTTTCTTTCGAGCTGCAACCCCTCCCCGGCGGGGATTTCAATGCATGCGGTCCTAAACCTAAACGTTCATGATGTGCTTTAAAACCAGACTTTTACTGCAACGAACACTTGCTCAAATCACTAAAATCCAGGGTAGATCCCAAAGTGACGGATACTGGGGTTCTACAACGTTGCGATGGCAGACCCATACCTAGGTAATCTAAGTGAACTCTGGAGCGAAAAATTATGCCTGGAAAGCTTAAAATCCATTCTGGAAGTCCTTTTGACCCCGCCCCGTTCTGAGCGCCGCCTACTTGCACGTAATTTTCAGCAAAAAGCATAGAGAGCTTCAAAAAAGCTCACTTTTGCCGATTTTGAGTCAGCGTGGCAAAAAGGCTCCGAAAAGGTGAAAACTAGAGAGTGAAATTTGGCCGGGACGCTGCCTCTACAATCGCGTAAAGTCTCCTGTGTAAATATTTGCTAAGGTAACTCAAAAATAAGCGATGGATCTCCAAAATTCCAACAGTAACCTTTATAGTAACTCAAATTTATGCAGAGAGCTCCTTCGATCTACTCAATTTGTTTGAGATATAAGCAAGTAATGGCTCTGTGACTTCAACTGCCTAGAAATTCCTAGAATTTGCGCTTTCTTCCCAAAAATTTTCTTTTTTTCTTTTGTTTTTATAATCGAATACCACTAAAAAATGTTAATAGGGTGTAACTGAAAGTAGAGCTTGAGAGTTGAGAGTAAAAAACTCTCAAGCTCTGCTTGAAAGTTGTTTTTCTTGTTTTCTTCAATCACGAAAAAAATGCCTGAACAACCAAATCTCTGTTTTAAGCCGTTTCTATTAGGTTGATGTATAATTCTTGCACCAAAATTTCAAAAATTCTGTTACTTCATCAAGCTGCGATAAAATCTTCTGGTTCGATACTTAGTAGAGAAAGCAAATCTTGCGCTTTCTGATGGTGCTCGAGCCAGAAGTCATTGAGGGCATATGGCAACTACAAGGTGAACAAGTGAAATACCCAAAAAGTTAATTTTCGACTTTTAGTCACTAAAATTGCTAAAACGTCTACTAGAATTTAAATTTATTTTTGGTCTAAGTTTTATGGAATGCTCTTTTTAACTAAAAGAAGTTGGTAGTGATTGGATGTCTCTGCGAATGTTTACGAATCGATTTTTTTGAAATGACTTATCGATTTTGTTTCAAATTGATTTTCTAAAATGTACTACAAAATACTACTTTTGGTATACATAACATAGGGTAGAACACGTAAGTTGAATAGTTTGTTTAAGCATTTTTAAAATAATTTATTTGTATTTTTTGGTGCAAGAATTGTGCATCAACTTAATACGTGAAATCGTTGCGAATTCACTGTTTTTTAGCACACCGAGACTCCATTCATCATCACTGGCTGCCTATTTTTGGGAGTTGGCTTCGCTATGCTGCTCGTCTGCGGTGTGCTTCAACGTAAAAATGTGATCAAGTACGTACTAGATCTGGACCGGGATCTCTACTTCCTCAACATCAACAAAAGCTACATGTGGAAAGTGATGTTCGAGAACAGATCGGCTTTGCCACTATCGGAGTGAACAAAATTGTTGCGAGTTTTACACGTACAGAGAAGGGAAAATGTGTTGGTTTTTTCCTAAAAAGGGGGCTTATTTGTACTTTAGGTATTAATGTCATCGGGTTTACTTATTAACCAACAGAACATTTACAGTGCACCTTTACATCATATCTCGGACATTTTACCTCAGTAAGCATTTCCATTTGCATTTCTGCATAATAAAGACTTGCAATATTATATATAAAGCTAAATGTCTGTTTGTATGTCTGTCTGTCTGTCTGTATGTGCGTACGTATGTTCCGAATAGAAAATTCCATTTCTGAACTGATCCGGACCAAACTTGGATGCACATACACTTCGGGCTTGGCGGGTGTCATAGGCTACTTTTCGTCGTCGATCGATATTGAATTCATCAATTTTTATCGATTTTTAGCAGAGCTCACCTAAGGGCTGGAAGTTGGCACAGGGGGATAATCGAGCATGGGGATACCGAACACAGTATTAGTTTTCAGGATTATCGATTACTTTTATCGATTTTATTGATTTTCTTGCAAAGTTTGACCTACGGGGCTGGGAGTTTGCACAGGGGGTAATCGAGCATGTTGATTACGAATATAATATTAGTTTTTGAAATCGCCCATTATTTCCTTATCGATTTTATCGATTTTTTTGCAAGTTTGAGCTACGTGGCTGGGATTTGGCACAGGGGGGTAGTAGAGCATGCTGATTACGAGTTCGATATTAGTTTGGCGCTATTCGGCTATCCGGGCCCCAAAATTATTTTTGTGGTAGAGCTTGCTCAAACTTCGTATATAAGGGTTATCTTAAGGGCCGGGCATACTTCAAGCGGTTTTAATCGCGACACGATCTGGCAATATTCCAAGTGTCCATAACTCATTGTAAGCACATTATAAATGTACAGAAGATAGGGGATTTCATCAGTTTACGTAAGTTATACACACTATGCATATGCAGTTTGCTAATGTTGGATCCGAATATCATACGAATATCATCTCTCTCTCTCTCCATATTGGGACCTTTTCATAGAGTTGTGGTGGTTATATGGCAAGGGGTCGAGAACATAGATTTGCTTTAAACTTCGTCTAGGGTAGTCATTTAGCGCGCTGAACATGAATATATGCTGATTTCGCAGGATAGTGCATTTTCTTCGGTTACGGTGGGTGTAGATGGGTCGAAGTTCCAGATTTGCTCAAAACCTACCTGCAACGGTTCAGAAGTATATCTCTTATGAATATGATGCTTGCTCACTGTCATAACGCATTGATGAAGTTATGGTGAGTGCATGGTTTGAATGAACATTTTTTCGCTTTCGGGCCAGTGTAGATCCCAGATATTCACGAAATGGGGAAGCGGCGTTTTGCATGGCGGTTTCCAGCGCCATCCTGATGACCTGTCCCAACGCGTAACCCACGCGGCAAATCTTCCTCTTCCTGTTTTTGCTTGAGCAAAAGCCGACGAAGGGTGTCTCGCGCGCGGCAGTGATCCTATAAGGGAAACATTATGGTCGTGGGAAACTTTTATACCACACGAATTGCCCTTATCGTGGGGAATGAGCACGATATTCTTAAAACAGCACTTTAGGTAATTTTCTGCCAAGGTTTCAGGTAGGTTCATGATTTTTACCCGCTACCATGTACCTACCGTAACTCTGCGAAAAGGTCTCAAAACGCAACGAGAGTGTTTTAGACGTGGTCAGAAGGTCGAATCTCTCTAGACCGAGTTTCAGCCAAAACTAAATTCGCCCCTCTGCAGTATACCTACCATAACTCACTGAAATCGCCTCAAAATGCCGAAGGAGTATGATATTCGTAATCAGCATGTCAATTAGCCCCCTCAAAGTTTCAGCGAAATCCATGATTTTAGCTTCTTATGTGTACCCAACGTAAACCCTGGAAATGGCGCTATCGCGCGAAATGACTACAATATTCGTCATCAGCGGCTTTAATAATCCCCATGTACCGACTTTGAGCAAGATCCATCACAAAAACATTTTGGGGCGGATAGCCGAATAGCGCCATCAGTTTTCAGAATTATCTTTACTTTTACCGGTTTTATTGTTTTTTTTTTGCAAAGTTTGAGCTACAGGGCTGGGGGTTGTTGAGGGAGGTAGGTGGGCATGCTGATTACTAACACAGCGGGAGTAGGGAATTGCATGTAGAAGTGGGCACAATGAAAGGTTTTACAGGGATAGGGATAAGACCTTAATCATAGCACTGACAGGGCCGGGCGAAGCCGGGTAAGCCAGCTAGTTGTAAGTAAGTGGTACCACATCTTAGCAAATCACCTAAACTCCACTACTACAAAAGACCATATTGCATCTTATACATAAAGCTGAATGTCTGTCTGTATGCATGTACCATTTGATTCAACTGGCTTGGCTTCGATAAGGCGGGGCTCCTGACTTATTAAGGCTAGCCAGTGATCAGAGAGCACTCGCGCGAGGGAGACGCAGGTGCGTCGCAAGCGCGAGAGACCTTAATTACGTCACGAAGTCCCGCCTTCAGGAAGCCAAGCCAATCGAATCAAAGGTTATGTGCATGTGTGTCTGTATGTATGTTCCGAATAGAATATTCCATTTCTCAACCGATCCGGACCAAACTTGGCACACATACACCTCGGAGCAAGGCGGGTGTCATAGGCTACTTTTCGTCATCGACCGATATCGATTTTATCGATTTTTATCGATTTTTTTGTCAAGTTTGAGCTACGGGGCTGGAAGATGGCACAAGCGGGTAATCGAGCATGCTGAATACGAATACAATATTAGTTTTTGAATTTATGCATTACTTTTATCGATTTAATTTATTTTTTTGCAAAGTTCAAGCTACGCCGCTGGGAGTTGGCACAGTGGGGTAACTGAGCATGCTGATTACGAATGTACTAACTGTTTGTAAAAGTATCCAGCATTTTGTTTCTTCAGAATCTTGGACTAGAAGAGTGTAAGTTGATACTTGGTTATGCTGATTCAAACGAGGCAATCTTTATTTCTTGTCCTCAGTCCTGCATCAAAATATTTCTCCTGTCATCTGGGATTGGATGTCGGTGAGGGATAAGCAATTGCGCTGATTACAAAACGGCCTCATTGAAATAATTCGAGTGCTAATGCCACGCCAAACGTATTGAAAGAGTACACTGGCTTGGCTTCCTGATCATTTCTATAAAACCACAACAATTTCAATTTTTTGGCGAGGTCTAAACTATTCTAAAAAATGTTCTTCTATTTATGAAACACTCTTTTAGATCTCAGGTTCTAATAGAGCTAGAATAGATGGTTGAAATTTTGCATGCACACATTGTATATGTGGGTAAAATACTATGAATATTTTTAGAAAAAACCTTTACACAATCTTTTTAATTTATTGGGAGGAAATCATGGTGGCGCCTTGGAATTAGAAAGGAAAAATTATTTGAGTGGCACCGCTGGATTGGCCATTAAAAGTTACCATATACGTATTTCTGACGTAAGGTCCCACGATGTCTCTGGAGCGAGATACAAGCATTTTTAGATTTTTCTCTGAAAATTCCTGCTTCACCAAGTTTTGATATATCCGTACGCTTCCGTCAACTGAACCGTTGGTTCCACCTCGACTAAGGTGTTAAGCTAGCGTTTCAATTTTCAACGACCGATAGTTGTCCTCAACGGAGGCAACCGATGGTTGTCCTCAACGGAGGCGACCGATGGTTGTCCTCAACGGCGGAAACCGATGGTTGTCCTCGACTGAGGCAGACGCATAGCCATGGCTGCTCTCGACAGAGGCAACCGTTCGGCACGAGGTAACCTCAGAAATCACTGGAGCCGCGGCCCTTATATAGCCTCGCCCTATATATCCCTCCAGGTGGACGGGGCAAGGGGCGGTCCAGTTCGTGTGGTTAAGCTTAGGATTTCCATATAAAATCTATCCGCCCCTTCCGAGTTGGTGTGACCAATCACAGCCGGCTCCGCCCCTTTCGAGGGTATATAAGGCGGCCAAACTCGGCATTGACGGTCACTTTCCTCTGCTACCGGCGGCCACTGAACCACCGAGAGCTCTGAGAACCAAGCGAGGACTGAAGTTCTAAGGACCTGAGGACCTGATAAAGGACCAAGGATGAGGACCAAGCGATAAAGCCTGAAAGCTCTTTATCCTTCGATACAGAGAAGCCAATAAGCTCTACCTCGAGTACCAAAAAGCCAACAGGCTCTACCTCGAGTAGAAAAACCCGAGAGCTCTACTTCGAAAACCGAGAAGCCAAGAAGCTTTACTTCGAGTACCAAGAAGCCTAAAGGCTCCATCTCGAGTACCGAAAAGCCTAAAGGCTCCACATATCTCAGGCACCGAGCAGCTTATAGCCCAAAGGCTTTCTTATACACAGGATACCGAAAAGAAGCGTGCATCCATCGGAAAAGTTGATCCCAAGGCCAGAAAGGTCAGGGATCAAAGAGAGGCTGAGACCTCTGAGCAGACGAGGAACGGCTAGAAGGCAACCGTGCCAGAATAGCCGAGGCGAGAGCAACGCCTGAACAGCGTGAAGCAAGTCTCTCGCAAACTCGCCAGCGGCTTGCTGCTCCGAGAGCCTCAATCAGCGAGATCCCAGAGACGGCTGAAGAGCGCCATTCTCGACTCGAATTGCGGTCAAGAAACGCTGAAGCCAGATATCAAGAGACGGCTGAACAGCGCGAGTCTCGACTCGACAGCAGTCGAATGAGGACTGAGGCTTCACGAAGAGCGGAAACTGGTGCAGGGCATTCAGTACGGCTCGAACGTGATCGTGGTCGACATGTCCACGCTCGACAGACATCTAGGCGAGTAGATCTTCACTCTCGGCATTCAACTACGATGCCCAGGTAGACTACTCGATCCATCCGAAGGCACTAATCGGACAGATGGATGTCGTACGTAGCAAGTGTCAAGCCAAGATGTTCAGAGCCGAACCTCCTGGCATGTGCTGTTCCAGCGGCAAAGTCGACCTTTCGCCTCTACTTGAGCCGCCCGAACCGCTTCGCTCATACATGTGCGGCACAAGTGCTGTGTCCAGGCATTTCGTGCAAAACATCAGGAAGTATAATGCGTGCTTCCAGATGACGTCCTTCGGCACTACGATCCCCATGCCTGAGATTGAGGAACAGGGCTTCATGCCAATGTTCAAGGTGCAAAGACAGGTCTATCATAGAGCTGGATCCCTGCTTCCTTATGGCAATGATGGCCCCAAATTCTTGCAACTGT